TATCTGGAATCTATCCACTTCTCTTCTCTGTCACCACCACCTCAGTCCAGGTCACTGTTTCTTTTTCCTGGACAAATGTAACAGCTTTTTAATTAGTGAACCCACTTCTGTTTTTTGACAGTTCCAATCTATTTTGCACACAGTAGTCATCTTCTCAAATTACAAATGAAGTCATTTCATTCTTTGACTAACAAAACCCAAATTACTCCATTGTATGGATAGACCACATTTTGTGTATACATTCACCTATTGATCAACATTTGGGTTGTTTCTACCTTTTGGTTATTGTGAATATCACTGCAATGAAAATTGGTGTGCAAGTATCTGTTTGAGTCCCTGCTTTCAATTATTTTTGATATATGCCTGGGAATAGGATTGCTGGTTATATGGTAATTCTATAACTTTTTGAGGAACCACCAAATAGTTTTCTACAGCAGCTGTACCATTTTACATTCCCACCAGCAATGGATGAGGGTGCCAAGTTCTCCATTTCCTTGTAGTCTTTTTTTGTTTTGTTTTGGCTGTCTCTCCTAGAATATAAGCTCCATGAAGTCAGGACTCTTGAGCACTAACACCTTATTGCTCACTGATTTCACAATGCCTACTGTTGTACCTAGTACATAAAACAACTAACCAACCAACCAAACTCATTGCTGTCAGTCGTTTCCGACTCATAATGACCCTTCTTGGGTTTCGGAGGTGGTATCTCTGTGAAAGTAGATTGCCCAACCTTCCTTCCGAGGAGTGGCTGGTGGGTTTTGAACCATGAGCCTTTTGGTTAGTAGTCAAGTGCCTTAGGCAGTATTCCACCAAAGCTCCCTAGTACATAATAGGTACTTAGTAAACATCCGTTTAACAAATGAATGTGTGATAGCAAGAGAAAGCAATATTCATGCTGACAAAGTTGGTGAGCATTAGCTTGGAGTTCTATACACTTGTGAGTAAGAAAGTTCTGTAAGTAATTGGAGGGTGCTAGGATATTACTCCTTGGAAAGAAGGTTGGGCAATCTGCTTCCCTAGTGATAGTGCCTTGGAAACCCAAGGAGGGGTCACTACGAGTTGAGTCCGACTCGACAGCGCGTTAACAACAACAGGATAAAAAATATGATGGAAGCCTGATTCCAGGAATTGTTTAAGAAATTATTTTTTAGAGGTGTGTTATATATATATATATATATATATGTGTGTGTGTGTGTGTGTGTGTGTGTGTGTGTGTGTGTATTTACAAAAAAAAAAAAAAAAGTCAATGCTGTTGAGTCAGATCCAACTCATAGTGATCCCTGCTTGGGTTTCTGAGGCACTGTCTCTATGGATGTAGATTGCTCAATTTTCCTTTTTTGGAGTGGCTGGTGGGTTTGAACTGCCAGCCTTCTGGTTAGCAGTCAAATGCCTTAGGCACTATGCCACCAGAGCTCCCATGTATACACACACACACACACACACACATAAAGGAGCTCTGGTGGCATAGTGCCTAAGGCATTTGACTGCTAACCAGAAGGTTGGTGCTGCAAACCCACCAGCCACTCTGTGGAAAGAAGGCTGGACCATCTATTTCCGTAAAGATTTACTGCCTCAGAAACCCCAAGAGGGTCACTAAGAGTTGTAATTGACTTGATGGCAGTGAATTTGGAAGGCTGGTGGTTCAAGCCCACCAGCCACTCCTTGGAAGGAAAGTTGGGCAATCTAATTCTGTAGTGATACTGCCTTGGAAACCCAAGGAGGAGTCGCTATGAGTTGGATCTGACTTGATGGCACTGAGTTTTTTTGAGTAAAGGGAAAAAAGAGGGAAATGAAGATATAACTGCTCAGCATTGGAAGAGCAGGGTATATAAGGAAATAAATTTGTCTTGTTCAGGTTATATGCCAACATATAAGGGATCAAAGTTGTAATTAATAAGATCAAAATGATCACAAAAACATATAAGACGCATATACATATACATGCTTGAATGATGTGAGACTGAATATATTAACAAATTATCAGTCAGAAAATGGAGCAGGACAGAGCACAGGGAATGGGCAGCAAAGGAAATTTAGAAAAGGAAAGTCACAGAGACAAACTCCCTTCTTAGTTCTGTCCAAAGGAAAGGAAGACAGACAATATACGCTAAGTCTTATGATCCTTTTGGAAGGGCTATGCTTGCAGTTTGTGGAGGGAGGAATGGACAGGAACATACTGGGAAGAACTTAGGCAACCTCCCACTAAGTTTCTTCTCTCTATATCCAGCAGCAGTTCATGGATCATTCATCAGTGACATAGAGTATAGGCGGCACCTGGGAGGAGTTTCTCAAATGGAGTGGGAGATCAAGGAATTGTAGGTGGAATGTTGTGGTCATTATCACCCTGCTTCTCTGCCAGCTTGCCTGTTTCAAGAATTTTCTCCTTTTATTTATTTTTAGATCAGATAATCACAAGAGGTTATTCAGTTGTGTTGTCACACAATCACAGGAGTCTCTTTAGTCTTTTTTTGAGGCAATGTAAAGCACATCCAGAGAGCCTATTAATGGAGACTTTGTAAGGGTATTCATATTTTCTCTCCCTCCTGCCATCAGCAATTGTCTTTTTTTCCTTACTATGGACACAATAGGGAGCTCTGGTAGCGTAGTGTCTAAGGCACTTGACTGGTAATCAGAAGGCTGGCAGTTCAAACCCACCAGCCACTTCTCGGAAGGAAGATGGGGCAATCTATTTCTGTAGTGATACTGCCTCGGAAACCCAAGGAAGGGTCGCTATGAGTCGGGTCCGACTATACAGCACATAACAACAACAACAACATGGACAAAATGATCAAAGAATTGGGTCCTGTTTTCTAACTTAAAAAACTTGTATGTGTGTGTGTGTGTGTGTGCGTGTGTGTTTTGAACACTCCCTGGCCACTGAGAAAAAGCTCTGGAATAAATGCCACCTAGAAGGAGAGAAGTAAGGACCCCATTAGGAGCCCTGGTGGTGCAGTGGTTAAAATGCTTGGCTATTAACTGAAAGGTTGGTGGTTGGAACCAACTAGCCACTCTGAGGAATAAAGATGTGGCAGTCTGCTTCCATAAATAACTGATTCTTGAAAACTCATGGGTCAGTTCTATTTTGTATACAGGATTCCTATGAGTCAGAATCAATTCCACAGCAACAGATTTGGGCTTTTGGTTTAAGGACCCTGTTGGATCAATGGGTCTGTGGATCCCATAGCCTCCCAGTACACCGAAAGCACACTTTTTCTCCTCTGGCTCCTATTGTTTCCTTCTTTCTTAATTATTCTCTCTATTCCTCACTCCTTCATCGTTCCCAGTCTGACTTCAGCTTCACCTCTACCTCCTTTTGTGACTCTTGATTATCACTATGGATAGTGACTAATCTGTAATGTGGTCACCTTAAGAGCATATAATATTTACTTGCTGGATTTGTATTAGTAATGACTAAAGATGAGGTCAACATAATGATTCAGTTTAAGGCTCTGGAGTTATGATTCAAATTTTGACTTCTCCACTTAAGAGTAGCCTGCCTTTGGGCTAATTATCCAACTTTCCTGTGCCTTCCTGTACATTGGGGGCAGTGTTTCTTATCTCAAAGTGTGGTTGTTAAGATTAGAGAGAAAGATTGTATAGCACTCAGAATAATGTCTGGTATATGGTAAGCCTCGATAACTATTAGTTCTATTATTTTAAAAAAGGTTTATGTAGCGTATTGTAGATACCTTATGTGGGAGATATCAGGAGTTCTAGTAGTGCTGCAGTTAAAGCATTGGGCTGCTAACCAAAAGGTGACAGGTTCCAATCCACTAGCTGCTCCATGGGAGAACGATGGGGCACTTTGTTTCCATAAAGATTTACAGCCTTGGAACTGCTTTATAGGGTCGCTATGAGTCAGAATCGACTTGATGGCAGGGGTTTTGGTTCATTTGTTAGAGGCTATGGGGTACATATGTTATGTTTTTTTTTTCTTTTCCCCTGAAATGACAATGATCTTGTGATAAGCTGGGCGTAGAAAAGCTTTGGCGAGGGCAATTCATCTCTAGCAATGATGGTCCTTTGGGGGCAAGAAGGTTATTTGGTGAGAGTGTAAGGTGGACAAGATCGGGCAGGGGAGGAGGCATGCCAGGGAAAGAGAACGCAGGAGGGCACGGAGGCGGATGCTTGGGGGCGCGTCAGGAGTCTCAGGAACCACAACTTTTATTTGGGTGGAGGAGGCCAGGAAAGGATGCTGCAAGCCTGGGGGGCGATAAGGAGGCGTCGTGGGCTCTGACCGCATTAGTTACCGTTTGCTTTTCCTGGGCTTCCGCCCAGGTTGAAGCGAGAGATTTGGGGCGCCCACGCCACTCTCCCGGGGTTCGACTTCCTGGAGGGCAAAGCCGTTGGAGGAACGCCCGCGCCTGGCAAAGGCTCGCTTGCCGCGTCCGGGCCCTTCCCCGGCACTATCCCGCCGCCTCCACTTCCACCTCGCGCGCCTAGCGCTTCAGCCGCTGGCCGCAACCCGGCGCGCCCGGCGGGAGGCGCCGCGGGATGTTTCCTTCTGGTCCTTCCCTCCTCCCCCCGCCTTGACTTCGTCCTCCCCGCCCCCTGCTCGGAGCTGGGCCCAGGCGGGAAGGGAGGGAGTGGGCCCAGAGACTGCATCATTCTGCTCAGCCTGCTGCAGGGCCAACGGGAGCAGGTGGAGAGAGCGAGCGAGACGCACGCTGGAGCGCACCAGCCGGAGTGGGGAGACTGCAGTGACTGCTTCCCGGGAGACATGGCGCCCGGGTGCTTCTGAATAAGCAGAATCTGGAGGCCCTTCGCCGCCCCCGGCCGCCGCAGCCCAGGCCATGCCACACTGCTGCTGACCGTACGCAAAGGCCGGCCCAGAGGGCACATGCGGCAGCAGCTGCCGCCTCGCCCCTCATTCTCTCCTCTGCATTCTCCATGTTGCATTTCTTGTCAGTTTCTTCAGGCGTGTAGCTGCTGCTGGCAGAAGAGCAGGCAGGCAGAATTTGATCTGCTAATTCATCCACCATACTTTTTCTTTTCCGTTTTACCCCCTAACCTCTTTTTCCTTTTCCCTTCCCCCGCCTGCTTTACTCCCCCCACCCCACCCCCTACCTCATTACTCCTCCCAGCCTCCATACACCGGGGCTATGGCCGCAGAAGAGGTATTGCAAACTGTAGACCATTACAAGACTGAGATAGAGAGGCTGACCAAGGAGCTCACAGAGACAACCCACGAGAAGATCCAGGCTGCTGAGTACGGGCTGGTGGTGCTGGAAGAGAAGTTGACCCTCAAACAGCAGTATGACGAGCTGGAGGCTGAGTATGACAGCCTCAAACAGGAGCTGGAGCAGCTGAAAGAGGTGAGTTGCCTGTCACCTCTTCCCTCTTCGTCCCTGCCCCCCCCCCATTCCCACTCTTCATTTATAAAGAGTCGGAAAGGATGTGATTGAAAGGACTGTTTCATCTTAGAGTTCTTTGTTGATAAGAGGAGATTGAAAGAGCCCATTGTTCCCCCCCCCCAAGAGAAAAATTATTCGGGAAATGAATGTATAAGCTAGAATTTGGGAGGCAGTTGTTTCTTTAGGCTGTGGGGGAGGGAGATTCATAATAGTTTTCAAGTATCCCTCTAAAAGGGTAGTCAGCTGGTTTGGGATGTAGAAATCAAGCTTATCAAAAACGGTTACTTGAAACCCAGGTTTCACGGACAGTACTATAATCCACAAAGGCAATGGGTAGGTTTGTGCCTGAAGACCCACAAGCTGAGGGTATAGAATTTATGATAGCTCAGCTGAATGTAACCACTCTTTGATGAGAGAGGGAGCTGTTATTAGAACTCCTTGACAATCCCATTTGACAGAGTCTGGGCAATCTTCATTTTCCTTGGCTGTGGTCATTCTTGTCTTCCGGCTGCAGGAGACAAACAACTTTGCTGGGTGATGCCTGCTGCCTTGATTTCACCTCAAAATGAGGCTGGGCTTGCCAAACCTTATGAGGTCATTCCAATCAGGGAAAATTGAACTCACCTGGTTTGGAAGAATGGTGTCTATGGAATACCTGCCTACCTGGGTAGGCTTGTATTTTAAATGAGGCTCTACTGGTTGAAATAATTGTATTAAAACCCCCAGTATCTCTAAAACGGACCATGTATAACACTTGATTTCTTTGTCTTTGGATGTTTTGGCTTCTTTTAAAGACTGTCTAATGTACTGGAAGATAATGAACATGCTTTGATTTCTTAGCAAACATTCTTAAGAATATATATATTACTTAAGGAACTCAGTTTATGTAATTCTTGAAGCACTATGGGTAGCAAGTAACCCATAGTTAAAAATTGAAATGCTTTTCTGTGTGGCAAGCATTTATTTTTATTTGTATATTTGTATTTTAAATGTTTATTCTCATTTGGTATAAGATATTGTTGAAAGTGATATTAAAATGTGTGAAGTTGGAAACAGGATAATGATTGTAATTCTCAAAGAATGTTTTGATGTTGTCTATACCTATCAACACTGCTTTGCCAAGACAAGGAAGTAGAGCTAGGGTTAAGCCATCGCCACCTTGATAAAGGAGGTAGACTTAATTGAGTGAAATGAAGTATAACTGTTAAGTGACCTTCCCCTTGACTTAAACTACCTTTCTAGGGATATTCATGTGTCATTGTATTTACTTTGCAGGAATTCATGTCTTTCCCTTTTTAGACCATGAGCTTTGAAGGCAAGGAATATATCAAATTCTTTTGCACCCAAAGTCCTTAACACAAATCCTAGCACTTAGTAGGCATGCAATAAAATTTCATGAACCAATACATTTGTACTGGAAGAAGATAGACCTTTATCAGGCATTCAATAGTCAGTATTGGTTAGTGTCAGAGAAAAACTAAGAAAATTAGGAAGTGACCAGTTTTAAAAAATTACCTGTGTTAGTTTCATCAGTAGTGATGAGAAAAATGAGAAAAAATGTTTTGTAGGAATAACACTGGTTTATTAATACTGAATAATGTAAATACCAACTACAGTTTGTTTTCTATTAAAATTTAAAACATTTATATAAGTAGAGGTTAAGAAACATTTATCTGGATTACTTTTACCAAATGATACTTGCTCACATATATATTTTGAGTAGTGTTTACCATCGGTATAATTCAATTTTAAATTTTTCATGAATAGACTCAAACAATTACATAAAAATGTATGTTTAGGATAATAAAATGGATACTTGGTTATTTGAAAGTGAGACCTGTTATTTATGTCCTTTCAACATGCTATAGAGTTTAGTTGGGTGTATTACTTAAATAAGCAAACTCAATCTCCAGTAATGTTTCCTGCTTGAAAAATAAATCCAAATATAAATCCAAAATAATTGTGCAACTGAGGTATGCCAGTGATGATATCATATGGAAGCCATTTTTGAAAAAGATGTTTGTGAGCACTCTGGTTTCTCAAAAGGAAGTTCTGCTCATTTTCATGTATAGATAATAAATAATACTGTTGCTTTCTATCTGTAAGCCAAGTGTGAAATAAATCTTTGGCTTGTTTTTAATCTCTTTTAGCAAATATGTTTAATTTTTAAGTAATTGGACTGATTTCTGGGAATGTCAACAGAAAAAGACTGTATTAAGTCCCAGTTGGATAATAATAATAATTTGCAGTGTAGTGATTGGGCTCAGTCTTTACAGGTTTTGTTTTCAATGCCAGCACCCTCCACCCCAGGCTAAGAACTGCTGTGACAATCATGCAAACATGGCCTGAAAATGAGCAGAATCAGTGGGATGAATTCATTAATTTTCTTTGCTAGTTATTTCTTCTCTCAACCAGTTGCTTTTCAACCTGGCAGCTGGTTCTGTTACCATTTAAGGCTCTGTCCTGTACCTAGTTGTGTGACATTTGTAGTTCTGTTCACAAAAGGACACTTGAAAGAAAAGAGCCTGAAAAAGGAGCACCTCTGACACCATCATAATGTTCTCCTTTTCATAATACTTTGCATAGCTAGACAAAGCAACATGTCCACTAGAATATTGACCATTGCTTTGTGATTTTGTAAATAATGCTTGCTCTTCATTGACCTAAGAGGCACTCAGGCCTGGATGTGTTCAGGGACTGGCTTATTGTAGGATTGGGATGTGTGTAAATCAGCACTGCACATCTGTCATTTAGACCAAAATAGCATTTAAAGAAGAGTTAAACTTTAAAATAATTTGAAAATTAAATATATCTATATATATTAAAAACCCTAGATATTAAATTTATTTTTTAGTTAAAAAAATGGTTGAAATTTAAAATGCCATAGGTTTTTTTTTTTAATTTATTACTTTGTTGTTGAGAATACATGCAGCAAAACATACACCAATTCAATAGTTGCTATGTATATAATTCAGTGACATTGTTTACATTCTTCAAGTTCTGCAACTATTCTCACCTCTTTTTCTGAATTGTTCCTACCCATTAACATAAACTCACTGTCCCTTAAGGTTCCTGTTTAATCTTCTAAGTTGTTGTCAATTTAATCCTATATAGATAGCTCTTAAAAAAAAAAAAGGGTGTAATGCTCAGGCAGGCATGTTTTGCTAGTTAAGCTAAAAATGCAGTAAGCTTTTAAAAGACCCCCTCCTCCCCCCCAGTGGAATGATTCAGCATTACTGGTAGCATTTTAGAAAACAGCCATGTAACAGCTTTAGCAAAGTTTTGCAGCTAGGTTACAGGAGAATCTGGACTAAGAATCTTCCACTCATTTTCCTGCTTATTTTCTCAACCCTAGTAATAAGACAGTTACCAGCAGCTGAAGAAGAACTTGATGGACAGTCAGCAACTTCTCCTGGAGCCAGCTTTAAGTTTTTCAGGGTTATTGTGAAATCATTCAAGAAATAAATATTCATTAACACAGTTTTAAAGTATATCGCATTTGGGACTCAATGAAAGCCATTTAAATACTTAAATTCGTCTTTAAACAGACTATTTTCTTCATATGTTTAGAAAGATTAGCTTCTTTTGTATTTGTAAATTCTATGTCTTACAGACTTGGGAAAAAGAAAAATGCCAGATGCTTTAGCAATTTATGAATGAACACAAAGAGAAAGTTAGTAATTCATTATCTACCTGATTGGTATTTAACTTCTCCCTTACTGTTTTTAAAGAAGAAACAAATTCAAATTAATTACCAAATTGTTTTAAAAATCTAAAATATATCAGTATATGGTTTCAGATTTATCAGGAGCTTCAACAAACATTGTTTTTAATCACATCTCTTTTTTTGACCCAAATTGCTCTGATTTGCACTATCTCTTTTTATCTCAATTTAAGATTTGATCTCTAGGTGTTTCTGGTTATTTCTCACATATGGTTTAGCAAAATTTTATTTATAATCTTTCATCCTACTCACCATGCTTTTATGTATATGTATAACCCACTGCCATCAAGTCGATTCCAACTCATAGAGACCCCATCAGGGTTCCAAGGCTATAAATCTTTATGGAAGTAGATTGTCTCATTTTCCTCCTGCTGAGCTGCTGGTGGGTTTGAACTGCTCACCTTTTGGTTAGCAGCCTAGTGCTTTAACTACAGCACTGCCAGTGCTCCTTGTGTACATATATAGCAGCCACACTTGGAGGATTTTTCAGAACTTCAGGTATTTACAGATATTCTGCCCTATTGTCTCCTTAAACTTGTATTTTACTGGTGTTATGTTCCAAAATTTGAAAATGTGAACATTACTTACATCTTGAAATACATGCTAAAGGACTTTCTCACTTACGAGATTATACCTGTACTTACGGCTTTGAATGAGAGCAGGGCATAAGAGATGCATGATCTTACTCTTAAATAATTGATTATACTGAAGGCAAAGATATGTGAAGTCCTGTGGCAGGAGATGAAATTGTGAAAGTGGCAATTGTCAAATTTTGTCTTGGGGATGATGAATCTTTGAAAGGAAATGAAACGATATGTGTTTGATGCCTTACATACTATCTCATTTAATTTTCAAAATAGATCAGAGGATTATTGTCCAGTTTTGCAGATAAGAAAACAATTAACATATTAAAGCATTGAATTATGTAAATTCTCCATTTAGAACCAGGTGCTTTGCCTGCTTTCTTCCTAATTCTTCTAACATTCCTTATACAACGTAGATATTGCTCACATTATACAGATGACAGATTAAGGGCCCTTTTCTAGGAGCTCTGGTGGCGTAGTGCCTAAGGCATTTGACTGTTAACCAGAAGGCTGGCAGTTCGAACCCATTGGCCACTCCTTGGAAGGAAGATTGGGAAATCTACTTCCATAGAGACACTGCCTCAGAAACCCAAGGAGGGTTTGCTATGATTCTAGTAAGTGGTGAAACCTGGTTCAGAAAGAAGCCACATTGT